AATGAATATATTCCAATTATGATGGAATTTAGATTCATTCAAAGATAAAGGGACACTCTAAGTACTATAACCACTGCACCGTACGCACTGATTTTGGTGTATAGATTCTGTCCCTTTTCTGACAATGTAACAGGTTTCAGTTTCTAATAAATTACAATGATTACAATTGGCTGAAGACACTCCTTCAGTGGCTGTAAGACAGCATTAGACAGGCAGAGCGTTCGAGTGGACAAAGATTGATGATCTCACAGTAGGTGCGTTGGGCTGCAGTCCACAGAACACAAGTCAGTTAAATTGCTTTTTTTCTTTTTTTGTGTTTTTAAACAAAGGAAGCAGAAGTCATTTAAAAATATCGAGAGACAAATCTGACTTTAAAGACAGTATATTTATTTTTAAGAGAGCTTCTCTAAAGCATGCATCTTCATAGGGCAATATATAATTATATTAAAATACATGTTCTTTTATTAGAATTTTCTAAACGTGTTTGGAGGCTTCTTATTGCTTAACCAGAATATTAATCAAACACAAAATTAAGCCCTGCGCTCAAACTCCCACTACTTTTGGCCAGCAGGCTGCAGCTTAAGCCATCCGCCATGTTTCCAAAACTCACTATGTGCAAGTCAAATACAGACAGCCATCAATCAAGTTAGACAGTAGAAGCAGCTAATTAACATCCTGACAGTTACAGACAGACATGCACAGAGACAGGACAAAAAAGTAGGACAGTTTATCATTTACACAAGAGACATGACATATAACAGAAACAAAAATAAACTACAAACAATGCAAAACAACAAAGTTCATAGAATGTGCTTTTAAAATAAATCGTCCATATAAGCGTCCGACCAACTGACTTGTTGGTTCACTCGTTCTCAGGGGTAAGTTACACAAACACTTATCTAAAAGCTGGTGAAATGCATTTCTTTTTTCAAACATTAAAGTAAGTGAGTGTTTGTCATGTAGTGACGGTAATGTGATGTGACTCATGAAAAAATAAGTAAATACATTTCAATAGGATCTGTGTAACAACCTATCAACTGACAGGAACTAATATCTGATGAAACCGTAAAAGATAATGATGATTTCTTTCAATGTTATAAAAGTGATCTTCTCAAAATAAACTATTGGGAAACAAATGGAAAGAAATTAAAGAAATGTGGTTTATTGAGAGGGATCGGGCAATATATAAAAGAATATAGCATTTAAAACACCAGCATTGAAAAAAACTAACTAGAAATTGAAAACAAACCCAAAAGATTAAGGAAGAAAATGTTGGTCTGTTGTCATGTGAAATGAATTTGTTACATTTTGCGAATCAGAAAAAGGAAAGTTTCATATCACAAAGAAGCAATGGACGAGCATATTGAAACCACTGCTGCAAACACGTGACTCAATAACAGAATACAGTGCCATTTTAAATGAAGATCCAGGTCCAGATGAACTTCATCCACAAGTAATCAGGGAGCTTAGATTAGAAGCCCCTATTTTCAGTCTTCAAGGGCAAGAATTATACCAAAGGATCGGCTAAAGCAGACATGGAAGCTTTAAAGAGGGATCTAACTTCAGCAAAGAAAATACAGACTGGTTAACTTAACACCTGAAGTTGGAAAAATGATTTGAAGAGGTTTTCTAGTCCAATACCATACCACTTCAGGTAGGGTCTCCAACATTGTATACATATTGGCCAACATGACTACCACAACATCCGCATTTATATGAAATAAAGTATTGGTCTAGGCCAGGCATAGCCAACCTTCGGCACTCCAAATGTTTTGGACTACACCTCCCATGATGCTTTGCCAGCATTATGGGGGATGTAGTCCACAACATCTGGAGTGCCGAAGGTTGCCCATCCCTGGTCTAGGCACACAAGCTTGATAAAGACCCATAGGGTCGAAATGTTGCTGTTTGTGCTCCAATAAAGCTACCTTTTGACCATTACCTTGAGTGCCTTGACCAATACTTTATTTCATATATCTACTTGGGTTCTGGCCGACCTTGGATGTGGTGCACCTTTGGTTGCCTGGTGAGTGCGGTTTCCTCCATTTATCTACTACCACAATGGCAGCAGTCATTATTTCCCCCTCCCCATAGATCAGGGCTCCGGGGGAAGGCCTTTTCAATCCCAGGAAACATTACTGTGGTGTCTCCTAAGGTGAAATATTAATGAATGGAAGTAAAGAGATACTTACCTCCTCTGTACAATCCACACAGTGCCAGCTGCCATGATCGGGTATCAGGAATCCTCGTGGCCGCCTCTGGTAGGCATATCACTCACAGGGCTAACGGTTATTTACATTAATCCATTTCTTTATATTACATCAACAGATTGGGAGAATTCTCCATCAGAGAACGCCATTATCACATCATCATCTGCAGGAGCCTTTTTGATGGACATCGGTGTCTTAAGCCTTTTGTCATAAAGCTGCCAAGGAAAAGCAAGTTGGTAGACAAATCAATACGAGAATAGAACAACAGAACATTTGTTTTATCACAGAGATTGCAGGCTGTCAGGGAGAGGAACGTTCTCTCTGGCTGGAGCAGGCAGTGGATGGCATGAGTGGGATCTTGCTCTAATTACTAAGTGTGTGATAATAAATGGTAATTTTAGATATATTTTGGTCTTTTTTCTCATTAATGCACCTATTCTATATTACAATTTTATAAACATGGCGTGATGTTTTTAAAGTGCGACAACATAAAATGTTACCAGTGGAATAACCTATATATAATGTGCGACTGATTCTACCTTCCTTACTATGTAATTACCGAGTTTGTATTTACACGTTTACAAATAAGGTGAGAAGAGACAGTTTATTACTAGAGCTGAGCGAACCCGAACATTAAGTTTTTTGGACCCCGGACCCGAACACGGACATATTACTGTATGTTCGGGTTGGAGTTCGGTATTCGGCGATTTAATGGCGTGTTTTGAAAGGAAGCCGATCAACAAGCGTTTGACTCGTGTGCCCTTAGAAGCCATCCCAGCCATGCCTATTAATGGTAAGTACTCAGGGATGGGGGCCAGGAGGGAGGACATTAGGTCCCCCCCTTATTAGTATTTAGGGCCCCCACCCACCGCTGAGGGGTGGGGGTCAGGGGGGAGGACCTTAGGTCCCCCCCCTTATTAGTATTTAGGTCCCCCACCCACCGCTCAGGGGTGGGGGCAAGGGGGAGGACATTAGGTCCCCCCCTTATTTTACTGTAGGGCCCCCACCCACCGCTCAGGGGTGGGGGCCAGGGGGAGGACCTTAGGTCCCCCCCTTATTAGTATTTACGGCCCCCACCCGCCGCTCAGGGGTGGGGGTCAGGGGGAGGACATTAGGTCCCCCCCTTATTCCAATTTAGGGCCCCCACCCGCCGCTCAGGGGTGGGGGCCAGGGGGGAGGACATTAGGTTCCCCCCTTTTTAGTATTAAGGGCCCCCACCCACCGCTGAGGGGTGGGGGTCAGGGGGGAGGACCTTAGGTCCCCCCCCTTATTAGTATTTAGGTCCCCCACCCACCGCTCAGGGGTGGGGGCAAGGGGGAGGACATTAGGTCCCCCCCTTATTTTACTGTAGGGCCCCCACCCACCGCTCAGGGGTGGGGGCCAGGGGGAGGACCTTAGGTCCCCCCCTTATTAGTATTTACGGCCCCCACCCGCCGCTCAGGGGTGGGGGTCAGGGGGAGGACATTAGGTCCCCCCCTTATTCCAATTTAGGGCCCCCACCCGCCGCTCAGGGGTGGGGGCCAGGGGGGAGGACATTAGGTTCCCCCCTTTTTAGTATTAAGGGCCCCCACCCACCGCTCAGGTGTGGGGGCCAGCGGGAGGACATTAGGTCCCCCCCCTTATTAGTATTTAGGTCCCCCACCCGCCGCTCAGGGGTGGGGGTAAGGGGGAGGACATTAGGTCCCCCCCTTATTTTACTGTAGAGTCCCCACCCACCGCTCAGGGCTGGGGGCCAGGGGGGAGGACATTAGGTCCCCCCCTTATAAGTATTTAGGACCCCCACCCATCGCTCCGGGGTGGGGGCCGGGGGAGGACAATAGGTCCCCCCATTATTCCAATTTAAGGCCCCCACCCACCGCTCAGGGGTGGGGGCCAGGGGGGAGGACATTAGGTTCCCACCTTATAAGTATTTAGAACCCCCACCCAATGCTCAGGGGTGGGGGCCGGGGGGAGGACATTAGGTCCCCCCCCTTATTTTACTGTAGGGCCCCCACCCGCCACTCAGGGGTGGGGGCCGGGGGGAGGACCATCTGCGGGCTGCTCACTGTTTAATAGACATGTCCCTACTCGGGGTATAGCGAGTAGGGGCAAAATTTACTAATACTAAGTAATTTTTACTCAGTATTAGTAAATTTGGCTGAAATACCAATTTAGGTCTTTCAGCCTTTTGGTAGATAACTCCCTAATACTGTGGAAATTAGGGAGTTATCTACTAAGTGGCTGCAAGAGAAGTCCCGAAATTCCAGAATGCCGAAGTTCTGAAATTCCGAAGTTCCTAAGTGTCGAAGTTGACGAATTTCCAGTGTCGAAGTGTTGAAGTGCCGAATTTTGGAAGTCCCGAATTGCGAAAGTCCCAAATTTCAGAATGCCAAACCGAACCGAAAATTTTGCACATGCCTACTGTCTGGGCGGCGGTCGGACGACCGGGACCCAGTATCCCTGATGTTGAAGTTAGGAGTCACAGTGTGGAATGGATTAGCAGGGTCTGGTGCAGGGTAACCACACGCCCCCTGGTGTTGAGCACCAGCGTTTGTGCGACCACAAACCAGGATCCTGATGCAGCTTCAGTAAAAAGAGTACTGGATACCAGAAGCCATCACCAGACTGATCCGCAACTTGGAACAGGATGTGACATTCATTGTAGCGGCTGTGCATGCTTTTGGCATTCTCACCCTGCTCGCCTGTCTGCGCTGCAGCGTAACTTTGGCCTACCCGCTCACCACCTCATATGCGACGTGCCCACAAGGTGGAACTCCACCTTGCACATGCTGGAGAGACTGTGCGAGCAGCAGCAGGCGATAGTGGAGTTTCATCTGCAGCACGCACAGGTCAGTCACTCTGCACCAGACTTGCCCTCCAATTGATCAGAGTTAAAGGATTTCAAGTAGACTCATTACAATTACAGGGCCTCTAAAGAGTCCAGTATTAGTTGTTGTCACAACCTTCCCGCGTCGGGAGTGGGTCATTTGCCTGCCTGCTGCCTTCCTTGTATGTGGTAGCCGTTTCTCAGGCTCCCTCTCCAGAATCGAACCCTGATTCCCCGTTACCCGTGGTCACCATGGTAGGTGCAGAAAGTGGCATCAAAAGTTGATATGGATGACATACGAATGCGTCGTCACCTTGTCTTCGGGGAGCCCCTTGTAAAAGTGCTCTAGCGTGATGAGCTGGGTGATCTCCTCTGGGAACTTGGCATGATGGGAGTTGAGCCAGTTCTGG